CAAAACAATTGTTTAAAGAGTAAAATATGTTCTTAACATAATCATATTTTAAAGTTATTTTAACATTTTCAAGTAAAATAAATGTTATGTTTAATGAAATGAATACGGGCGATGTTAATGGTGACAAATAACGGAAAATGCTTGCTGGGATCTGCCGTATTTATATTGCAGATTTGTATCAGGTCATGCATACTTTTAAAGTAAAACTTATCAGATTTTTCCCCTTGCGGATGGCCACCTCCCCTCTTCTCCGACCTCCCCCGTCCGTCCAGTGAAAAGCCTCCAATGACAGGTGGCACTACATTTTAAGAGTTTTTGGACCACCCATAAGGTGTCACTCTACTTCAACTTCAACACTTCCCTGACCTTAGGGTGGACTACAGAAACACTAGTTGCCACACTACAGACTATTTGCACTTTATAAGCAATCATTGCGAGCATTGCTGTTTGTAAGTTTCAAGAGCGCGACGGCAAGATGCAAGATGCGACTAACTTTGACGAGCACTCGAACGTGATATACATTTTACCCAAGTCTGAGAAATTATAAATTCGTATGCAAAACTATAAAAACGTAGATAGTAGAATAGAATTGTTAATGAAAGTGTTTGAATATACTTTATATTTTATATATTTTGAATAATACGAACATAACCTTATATATATTTTACTCAAGTAAAATATAAATTGATCTATGTTTTGTTTGTATTTTTAATACTTACCTCAAACTGAAAAAAAGTGCATCAAAAGTCGTATTATTTGTCTGTTTTTCATACAAAATCATCAATAATAAAACAATGTTTTGTCCAAAGAAAAGAACGAAACATTATTTCGGAAACACCGGAAAATATTCCACAACACTCCAATGTACCAATAAAAATCTGGGACAAAAACTAACAAAGAACACTAACTTTAATATTAGATTATAAGTAATTGACTGTTTGCCTGTATTTGCAAAAACGTTACGAAAAGCACTAAAGGAGCAATTGTTTTGAGTCATAACTTGTGACTATAGACTACATAAAAACGTCTTCGCGCGCCAAAACTTTGAGTGTGATAGTTAGATCTACGAAAAATTAATTGAAAATTACAGAATTCGCGCGGTATAACCGACCCAATTTTTTATTTTTTCGATAATTTTTTTCATATTCGTTTCATTAAAAAGCTACATATTGCATTGGTGGGGGGCCCTAAATGATGGGGGCCCTGGGGCCGTGGCCCCGCTGGCCTCGTCCTAAATCCGGCCCTGAATATACCTTTATGTTTAGCAATACTTTTTGATACACTTATCATATGACGAGTTGCAGTAGGGAATTTTCCTTCAATTTTTTGGTAAGACGAATGTCTGAAAATTGTCAATATTTTAATTTTATGAGTTCGGTCTGCAGTAGTATTGAAACTTTCTTGTAACGTTTTTAAAATTGAGGTATCGTCGTCATCATCGAGGTCATCCGGACCCTCTTCTTTCAAATCAATTTTTTTTTTAAATTTCTAAAGCAATGTTTTCAGATTTCTCTTCGGAATACTTTTTTGTAACAGTTTGCTTTTTTTAATTGGTGAAGATCCTATTAATCTCAACAAAGAATTGAGATGCTCGACACGTTCCTTCACCAACGGTGAATTTTCACCAGAGAATCCTGAAGTCTCTTCACTACTACCAATTTTTGCATCTGATTCGACGAGACTTCTTTGTTTTCCGGCTGTGAAAAATAAAAATTAATCTTATAAATATCTACGATCATATAAAAATTATAACTAAATAGAGTTAAAGAGAAGCAGAACGCTGCTACTGGCTACGATAACTGTGTAGCCTAACTCATTTACCAGAAAAGAATGTTAGGTATCTTTGAATTCTCTTAATATGATATGCAAAGAATTATAATACGTACCAATTCAATTTGAACGTTTTCTTCATTTTCTTTTTTGATCTTCGAGATGCACACGCGACAGGAAGTACAATTTTTTTTGTAATGACTCAGAAGTGATTGGTAAATTTAACACGTGGAGCTGATTTTCATTCACAGTTCTCAATTCTGATGCTTTTGTCAGCGGATGACTTTGTAAATTTAAGGGATTGAAATAACTGTCGGTTTGAATATTCATCCCTTGTAATTTTTGGGCCTTTTTATTAGGCATTGTTATAATGCCACGCTATTTCAGGCAGAGAGTCACAAGCACAGAAACTTACAGGTTCGTTTGATGTCCCAAGATGGCGAAAACACTTTCAACTAACCTTTCAGTAAAAAACAGAAAATAACTTGCGCGCACGGCGAAGGAAATGAACTCTATAAAGGCTTTGACGAGAGAAAAGATACAAAATGCCGGTGGTAGCCAACAAAAGCCAGTGGCCCAGTGCACAACTGATCGGATATTTGAAACCGTGTCGATTCCCTTTCCCCAGCTCGTGACGCAGGGTTGGGTCAGTAGAAAACCTTAGGTAATTTACCTTGGTAGAAAAGGGTAGAAAACTTGTTTTCGACTTGCGTCGAAAACCTATAGGGTTTTCTACCTACGTAAATTACCTTATTCGACCTTCTCCTTCCACTTCTCTATAATTGATAAAAATTTGCCCTCATGCCAAAAATTATGTTGGGGTCTCCCAACCAAACGTGGCCCTTTTTTTCCCACCATAATAATGTTAAAAAACTCCAAATAAGTTCAAATTTATGGTAGGTGTCTGATTTTTCACAACATTTAACAAATCATAATAAACAACAAACTTGCATAACCTCACATTTTTTGATATTTGACAGTATTCTACTTTTTTACGTTTTCTACCGTCGAAAACGTCGAAAAAGGTTTTCTACATGTCGAAAACAAAAATGTAGGTAGATACCCAACCCTGTCGTGACGTCAGTAAGAGGTGGGAATGCGGTCGGGCAGCAAATCAGTCTATCTTAAAGTAACTTCAAAATTTTAAGACTGATTTGCTGCCCGACCGCATTCCCACCTCTTACTAACATCACGAGCTGGAGAGAGGGAATCGACACGGTTTCAAATATCCAACAGGTAACGAACTTTAAAGCAAGAGATCCATAGCTTTATCCGTGATTTTGAACATTTTTGCATATTTTAAAAACATGTTTTTTATGTAAAATTTGACGGAGAATGCGATAAAAATACTAAAAACTTAATACGAGGTGGGGGCCATTGTTAAAAATTGATTTAAACAATGAAATTGTTAATAACAATATGAATTTGTTAATAATTTTTATTAAAAATATTTTGTTATCAAAATTCAATCCTTTAGCTTTAAAATGAAAAAAAAAAGATGTTTGTAGCTCAAATACAACCGGAGTTATAAATTTTTGAAAATGGATCTTCAAGCCAAAAAGCTTGTTTTTCTCAAATTTTTGATCACTTGTATTATCGAAACAGTGGCGGCGCCAGGGGTGGGCGCGGTTGGGCGAGCGCCCAACCCAAATTGTTCCCGCCCAACCGCTTGCCCTACCTGCTAAACTAAACATTTGAGCAAAAAATTGTGAGAGGTCGTTTAGTGGCTTAAAAAGGATAAAAAAACTATTTAAGGACTACAATTTTACAAGAGAGGCTCACAGATTTAGGAATATTGTACGTTGAAAAAGTATTATAAAAGCAATGGACTTAGATATAGTTGTAGATTCTTTTGCAATTAAACATAATAATAGAAAAATAGCGCTTTCTAATCTACCTAAACGTTAGACTGTGTCTGTTATAGTTATATAATCATGCGTTTCCGTGTAAAATAAACTTTGCAATAATTTCTGTGTTTTTTTTTTCGTTTTAGTTTGTATTTCACATTTATTCACAAATCCGCAAAATATCTATAATTAGTGGGTACATTATACAATTTATACCTATTATCTGAAACATTACCTAGATAACTAAAACATATTTTTGCTGCCCACAATTCAAATTTTTCTGCCGGGTGTCGCCCAACTGGAAAGAAAAAGCTGGCGCCGCCACTGTATCGAAAATATGCGAAAGAAAAAAAATTCCTCGAACACGTGTCTCTTTTTTTTTATATAGAATCCGTAAAAAAAGTTTCAGCCAAATCGGATATGTGTCGGTCAATTTTTATCAAAATCCGTACTTACTGTTTGTAAAAGAATTACCCATATATATATATATATATATATAAACTCCCCAGGGCAGGGCCTAAGGGGGGTGTAGGGGGGGAGTCACCCCCCCCCAAGTCTTGGCAGTTGGTTCCAAATCCAAACACGGGTGGCAAAATCTATAGTATTTGGGTCGGTTGGTGTGGTATACCTACCCTACCAACACAATAAATAAAATGAAATATAATTTTTAAACTTTACCTAAATATTACAAAATTATAATTTTTAATCTATTGTCACCTCCTATAATCGTTACCGTCAAGAAAATTGTATTGGTGAACCTTATTTTTATTAAAGGACATTATATTTCACACAAGCGGCATGTACAAAGTCGGCACCGCCTCGCGGTTTTGTCTTTGGTTTTGGCGGCGTTTGACTCTTTTTACGCACCGCAATTTTCGGCGTCTTATTTTTCTAGATTATTAATTAGTTGAAGCTTATCTAAGCTAAGTAAAACTAGTGTCAATAAATAGGAATTAATTTTTTTTTAATATGGAAAAGAAAGCTAGACCGGGCCGCTCATTATGTGGATCTGTGTTTAACAAGGACTGGAAAAAAATGCACGAGGAAAATATTCACGGTGGAAATTTGGTTAAAATTAAAATTGTTACTGTTCCGGATAATCCACTTACATTGGCAGCAAATCAAAAAAATAGAGAACGAGAATCAATCCCATCGACTTCGAAAGAGCATGCTAATGGTAGGTAAAGACATTCTTTACAACACTTTACATTCATGATAAAACTACTGAAAATTTTTACTATTACTACTAAGGTATCGATAAAAAAATAAGTTGGTTTTTTTTATCATCTCCACCCCCCCAAAAAAGTGTGCCTCGGTACGGCCCTGAAACTCCCACTATAGTGGACATGAAATATTGATTCTTACTATGACAAACTGACTTACCTTAACTTTGGTTAATTCTTCTGGAATATTAAGGTTTTCAAAAGTGGCTTCTTTATTAAACACATCTATTTCTTTTAAATTAGTTTTTAAATTCACATTAATACCCCTTTCCTTGCAAATTTTCCACAATGCATCAGCATATGTTTTTACCCCAAATATAACTCCCAAAGAAGTATTGTATGTTATTTTTACATCTTTTCTTATACCTTTCTAAAATTAAAGATAATCAAAAACCTTACATTTGTCATTTTAAATTATATAGGTAGGTACTTTTCTTAGGTAATGTTCAGTAAGATAGCAAATTTTTTGTGGGGCTCCTGGGCATTTAACTGGGGAGTTGGGAAATGTAAATATAGCATTACCATCCTTTAAGTTTTGCAGAACTTCGTATGTTTTATTTACATATTTAGCAGAATAATTTGAACAAACTCCACTTGGTAAACTTAAAGCTTCCAGAAGTCCAGGAATCTTAAATAATATAATAATATATGAATTAATATTAGGTACAGTGCTTGATTTCTAAAAATAGAGGTGCCTGAACTGTAACCTTCCCCAGAAGGTTTAGCTATAGGTTATAGATAAAACCAAACCTTCTGGGGGAGGAATTAAATTCCAAATTTTATTTTTCCAAGCAAGTACTTAGGTAGGTACAAAAATGTGTGGTAGTAAAGTAATAAAAGCAGTTTCCCAAATGTTTAGGTTAACTTTTGGAATATTTTTTTTAGAGAGGTACCACTTTCCATCTCAAGTCAAGATCTAATTTAGTATATTACCTTATAATTATAATAATTCCCAATTTACCTTATCATATCTGGTTTCTAATCCCACAGCTACAAGTAAAAATTCATATTGAATTGTGTCACCTTTTGAAGTTTTTACTTGATTATTTTTTAAATCAAACTCAACAGCATTATCTTTTAACCAAGTGCAATTTTCAGGAAGTACTTCAATTTCGTTTCTCCTTGCACCTTTAACAGTGCCTACACCAGCGCCAATCAAAGTAAAAAGGGGCTGGTAATAATGGTGTTCACTAGGCTCTAATACAAAAAGTTCATTTTTTTTTAATTTTTTTGCAAATTTTGCTGCAACAGAACATCCTCCTGTACCCCCACCAACAACCAAAAGTTTACAACTAAAAATTTTAATAAATTTCCATATTATCAAAAAACATTAAAAACATAACCCTACTTCTTACCTGTGATTATGATTAATTATTGAGTTTATTGAAAATGTTCGTCTTGTTAAAGGCAATACTTTTCGGTAGAGAAATTTCGAGTTCATGTTTACGCCTCAGATACAGTAAGCAGAGTTCACTTTCAATTAATCTAAGATTAAAATTTTTTATTACATAATAAAATTTTGAGGATAAGTACTTACCTACCTATAGGTACCTACTTTTCCGTGAATTTACTATTTATTTAACCAAAAAATTATAATATTACTATATTAGTTGATTTACAACCACACCAACCTTCATGGAAACGGCATTTTAAAAATACCTAGTCAAAAGGTTTTAAATATTTTTATTTTCACCTTCTTAGTAAATGACATTTTATAGGTTAATTTTGTAACCAAGTAAACGATAAATTAGGCATAATTCCCATGGGAACAGACCTGTAATTTTTTACGGGCTTGTTACAGTACCCAAAGATATCTGAAATTTTCTTTTTTACAAGCCCGTTAAATTTTACAGGGGTTTAATAGGTACTGGTGTGTATTTACACCACAGGTTAGTTATAATAAATAGATTCAAAAGATTATACTTACAAATCGTTTTATTTGTCAATATTTATATATTATAATAATTATCAGTTATAATTTATTATTTCTTGTTTCTAATTTCCTTCTTCTGTTTCTTTTTCTAACATCTTAATTTTGCTCCTTTTCTAACTTCTTTATTTTGCTTCTTTTCTAACTTCTTTATTTTCTTTTATTTCGTGTCTTCTTGTTATCTATTCCTTATCTCTTTATTTCTTATGCTTCTTTAACTTTATTATTTATGTTTAGTTTTATTTTATATAATATGTATATATAATTTATTATTAAAATTATAATGAATTTTATAAATCTAATATATTATTAATATTAGGTATATTTTATTATATTTTTTATGTTATTATTTTTGATGTAAATATTTTTTTTTTTTATTATTATTTTTTTTATATATATATATGTATATAGCAACCATAGCCGACTAAATTTATATTAACAAATAGACTTGCAAACAAATCAAAAAATCTACATACTCAAACTAACCTGTGGCGTAAACATGCTCCCCGGCTTTGAAATGTAAATTTCAAAATATTTTAAATTAATATTTGAATAAAATAAATATAATAAAATTTAATGTTAAAATTAAATATGCAAGAATCACTGTGTTGGAATAGGGCAAAGCTTCACCACCGGTCGCTTAAAAATCCCATTTTGGGAACGTACTAATGCTACCCTAATAACCCCATCTTTTCCAGGATAAACTTGTTCTATAACTCCCAATGGCCAATAAAGTGGAGGCACATCATCCTGTTTTATCAAAACAATTGTTCCTATATTTATGGGATTATTAGATGTATTCCATTTTTGTCTTAATTGTAACGTATGTAAATATTCCAAATGCCATTTTTTCCAATAAGATCTAATTAAATTATCTAATAACTTTTTCCTCCCCTTTAAGGTTTGATCAGAATTTGACAAAAATGGTAAAAACTGAAGGGGCGTTGACATTAAAAAATGCGCAGGTGTAAGAATCTCTGGATGAGGTTCCTCAGATAATAAACAAAGTGGTCTAGAATTTAATAAACATTCTATCTGAATTAATATTGTATTTAACTCTTCATAAGATAATAACTGTTTACCAATAACTCTATATAAATGCGTTTTAACACTCTTTAAATTTGCCTCCCAAATACCTCCAAATTCTTATTAACCCTTTATCATCAAGAAAAATATCCAATTTTCTAAACGTGGGACTAAGGGAATTTTTATTATTAATATTATTAAATTCATTTTTAAAATATATTTTTTGTAATTCTTTTAAAATAATTATTTCAGCAATTTCCAAATCAGACACCTTAATTAAATTTGTTGATTGTATTATTTTCATAAACCTCAAAATATACACAACTATATTTAATAATTTAGTCCATGATGAAACTCTTAATGAAAGATTATAAATAATTGAAGTTTCATACGATGTATTAATAAGTGTAATAAATTCCTTTTTTATTTCAGGAATCTCCAATTTATATTTTTTAATATCAAATGGCTTAATTGGCCAATCTGATATTGGAAATTTAGCCCATAAAGGGCCATTCCACCATAATGAATGATTTATCAATTGTGAAGGTAATAGACCTCGTGAAACACAATCACTTGGATTTTCAATTCCATTAATATGATAAAAATTTGCAGGTGCTAAATTCTCCTGAATTTTTCCAACACGATTGGCTACAAATGTTTGCCAACGATGAGGGGAGGAATGTATCCATGATAATGCAATAGTTGAATCAGAAAAGGCAAAAATTTTATTAATTTTATATCGATTACTATAAGTATCCAATATATGACGTACCAATTTAGATAATAACAAGGCTGCACATAATTCTAAACGAGCTAAAGAAAGAGTTTTTAAAGGTGCAATTTTAGATTTTGCACAAATTAAATTTACCGAAATATTCAAATTTGAATGTGTTACATGCATGTAAATACAACAGCCATAAGCTTTAATACTAGCATCTCCAAAAGCTAAAATATTTACATTACACCCATCAACAATACCTAAATGTCTTGGAATCTTTAACTCAGTCAATCGTGGTAACTCATTTTTAAATTTTATAAAACGTTGTAATATATGTTCAGGAAGTTTATCATCCCAATCACTTTTAATTAACCATAATTCCTGAATCAAAAGCTTAACATATAATATGACTGGTGCTACCAATCCTAATACATCAAATAAACGAGCAATAGTAGAAAGAACTATGCGTTTAGTATAAACATCATTAGACTCTGTCAAATTTGAAGTAAAAGTAAATATGTCAGACACTGGCAACCATTTTAAACCTAAAATTTTTAAAGAATCTCCATCTAAAAACTCCTTTGAAGCTCTATAAGATTCTGGAACCTCCTTTAATAACTCTTTTGAATTACTAGCCCATTTTACAAGATCTAATCCACCACATTTAAAAAGATCAATTAATTCCTTAGAAAGACTTATTCCTGTTTTAATTGAAGATACTGAAGTAATAAGATCATCCATATAAAGTTCTCTTTTTGCTACATCAGACGCTAAAGGAAATTTATCGTACTCATCATCTGCTAGTTGTTTAATGGTACGCATTGCTAAATAAGGACTTGATTTTAAACCAAAGGCTACAGAATTAAATTGAAATAATCGAATAGGTTCTAAATCATTAAACCTAAACAAAATTTTTTGATATTTACGATGTTTTTCTGACATTAAAATTCTTAAATACATTTGTTTTATATCTGCTGTAATAGCAATTGGGAAAAGTCTAAAATTTATTAGAAGTGAAAATAAATTAGCTTGTAAATTTGGTCCAGTATGTAAAATATCATTTAACGATACACCTGTATCAGTTTTAGCACTTGCATCTAAGACCACACGAACTTTAGTTGTTACTTTATCAAGTCTAATAACAGCATGATGTGGTATAAAATAACCACTATTAATATTTTCATCAGAATATGAAATTTCAGATAAATATCCTTTATCTAAATACTCCTTTATTACCTCATTAGTCGTTTTTTTGCGTAAATACCATGAAATACTATGGTCATTAAACTTAACCTTGGTTAATAGTTAAGGCATTTTTGCGTTTAGAGTGCGTTCAAAAATCCTAACTATGACGTCACAAATACCAGACCATAAAACTATATCGCTGAGCTAGTTATTCAACGTGGTTAATAGTCCTTCTCTTTTTAATATATATATTTAATATGTTTATGTAGGAATAATGTTGTGTGCTAAACATATCTTCTCCAAAACATACCGCCAACCTTCGTCTTTTTCTTTGGGGTTCCATTCTAAATTTTGAGTTTCACAATAATAATTTTCGTATAAACGTTAAACACTGTTGGATTTTAATTATGGTAAACAACAGTGAAGAACTGTTTATATATAAAAAGAGGTATAGAAAAGGTAGGTATAAGAACTAGGGTTCATAGAAAAAGAATATACAAGGTAAAAGAAGGGGCAAAGAAATTTATTTACACCTGTAAAAGCATAGAAATTAAATATAAATAGGTAAAAACACATTTTAAAAATTATAGGTTATGAACAAGTAAACAAATGTCAAATGTTAGAAACCTAACCATGGTTATATGAATTAACTGTGACGTCATGACTTATTTAACCGTAGTATTTCATAGTATTTACGCGAAAAAACGACTATTATAAGCTTGACGTAATTCTAAACTTCTTTTAAATTTCCTTTCTAAAAATACAAATCGACGTTTAGCAATAGCATGAGAATTACCTAATAAAGAAGGATCATGTTTAAATGGTAGTTCTACAATATATCTACCAGAAAAATCTTTTAAAAAAGATGATTTATAGAGATTCTCACAAAATAATTCATCTGAATCTTGTATGTGATCATTTGGAATTTCCTCTAAATTCCAGAATTTAGTTAAATTTGCATTTAAATTATCATTTGTTATTGGCCCAAAAGTCCAACTTAGATTAAAATGTGAAAAGGAATTATCAAAAAACGTATTAACGGGTACTTCACCAATTAAAATATACCCAAGTGTAGTTTCAAGCGCTTGTGGTGCAATTAAATTGATATTCGTGATTGAATAGTTAAAGAAACATATCCTTTCATTGGAGTTTTAATAGAACCTACTGTATTAATATACGAATTACTTATGGGAATAATGTTCAATTTAAGTTTCTTACAACAAGAAATGGAAATTAAATTATTTTGTGATGCACTATCAATAAGACATCTAATTATGGTTTTATTCCCATTATCACCTAACGCGTATACTTGCGCTGTTGATAATAATACAGTAGTGTTTGTATTTAAAGAAGCTTTTGAATGCATAGTAATAGATTGAGTTAAAGGTTTAAAAGAAGAAGATGAAGCTATATTATTTTGCATAGTAGGAGATTCAGTTTTATGTGTTTCAAAGTGTAATAATGAATGATGACGTTTCTTGCATATTTTACAATATAAATTTGATTTACATTTACTGCTAGTATGATTTGACCGTAAACAGTTAATACAATATCTTAATTCTTTAACCTTATCAAATCTAACCTTAGGTGACATATTTTTAAATACTTGACATTCGTAAATATTTGAATGATCATTTTTATTACAAATTATACAATTTAATGGCTTGACATCTGTTATTGAAAAAGAATGGGATTGTACAATTGAGTGTTTATTTTTTAAGGAAGAATTAGTATGTGTATTATGTTTTAGACTTGAATGTGAATTTGTAAGTTCTAAAATTTTGACCTGTTGACGAATATACTCAATTAAATCTTTACATGATGGAATTTCTGA